TATCATGTTTAGTGCATCTTATTGAAATATACTAAAATCAATATCGATTTTTCAATCTACAAATATATCACTTTATTATTCCATTACGATGTATGAAAACCATCATTAGACAATGCTCTATTTCATAATCTAGATATTTGATGATGAATAAGAATGACTAATATTTTATTACGGAATGTTGTTTTTTTGTTATTTTGTTTTTACCTCATCATGACTATAATGAGAAACTGCATCAATAAGTTATTTCGTCGTTGCATTGTTTTCTTTATTCATACAAGTGAATAATCAAGAAAGTAATACGTCTAGTTGCATGTGGTGAACACAAATTATCGTCCAATAGTAAATATCGATCGTTGAAAGTGCATTATCATAGCTAAAAGCATATCAACTAATCAAAATCTCAGCAATTCTCGATATACCGATTTGATCAGTGAATCGATTGCACATATTCTCTCACCCATCAAAGGCTATAAAGCGAAGTCTCCACTGGCATTAGACTAAGCAATAACCGTAATTTCACATTTATTTGATAGTCTTGATGAAAATGTCTAGATGACCAAAGAGAACTCCAATTGATGTTCTTAGTCTTTATCATTTCTTCAATTCGACACTACGAAATGACAATCGTGATAATTTGAAACCATAGTTTTTCCTATTTGAAATTATTTCTCATCATTCTCTATGAGAGAGAGTGAGCTCGTGTACTCTTAGTGTAGAAATTTTTCGATCAGATTCATTTTTGGGTGAGAAAGGCATACGAACATGATGTTCTATTGAATATCAAAATGAAAAGTCAATTATATCATATTCATATTTTAAAGATACCGAGAAAGAAATGATTTTAATGCCGAGTACATATTTAGATATGATTGAACAGTTGAATTCACTCGATGATTTATATATTATTCAATTCAAAGAAATTCAATATCCTTTTTCATTTCTCAAACCATCATTTAAAAAAAAGAACCATCGACAGTAAATATCATAAAAGTTTCTGCTAATGTCGTATCTTCGAATGCTAATTCAACAACGGGTAATTCTCTTATATTTTTATTTCATAGGTTTTATCATAGAACACATCTTGTACAAATGACATCAACAGCTTCGCCACCGTCGCAGTAAAAGCCATTAAGATAAAAGATCTCTTGTGAATATAAGTAGAAATCGTTCGATAATTGCAGGTCACTTCGACTAGTGTTTTTAAAACGAATGAATTTGAAAAAGAAAATGAAACAAAACTTAATATATATCAACAGTGAACATATTTATGCACAAGAATTATCTGCAGAAAATGTGCTACTCTTCGAAGACGAATTTTAACATTTACTAATCATATAGAACTATAAGCTCTTCGTTCCTATAAACACATCAATAAATCATCATATCAATTTATCATTAGAAATACAAGAATTTGCTATCGATATAATTCGAAAGGTCATTGCTGAAGAATACAATGAAGAAGATTCTCAATCAATGATCATTGATGAACTCATTAGAATGTATGATGGTTGATTCTAAGGCAAATTCTCATGGTTTCATACCAATGAAAATTTTTTTATCAATTAATATTGACAAATATTCTATATCTGTTGTTCAGAAATAATCATAAAACGTTTTTGTTTTTCTTCCATTTTTCTATGTGCCTCTTTTTCTTAAGAGATCGTTTATTTAGAAATAAATCTACTTTTATCTGAAAATTTGTCATAAGCGTTAGCACTGGAAACAAAAACATTTATTCACGTGCAAAAAATTTTGACTGTGATCTAGAAAGTTATTAAAGTCGTGATCGACAATCAATACAAATATTAGAATATTTACCTAATGAATTCTTAGTTGGTTTATTTAATTGAATATAAAATTTAAATGTATACCTTCAATATAAGTTTTATCATTTAATAGAATGATAGTATCGATTGAAGTTTTTATTAAATAAAAATGAAGCAATTAAGAAAAATTTAACTATCCAGTAATAATAACTTGATGTGATTATTGTTTATATTCAAGTTTAATAATAAATATTAGATCATCAATTCATTTTTTTGATTCTTTAATTTCTAATCAATAAATTCTTTCATCTTTTATGGCTATAAATCGATTAGTTTCATCTTCATTTATATTACTTTTTCTTCATATAATTCGATAACTTTCTTTACTAAATGTCTAACTTACTTTCAATGATTGACCTTGTGTTACTGTTAATTGTTTTTTTTTATTACTCATTCTCATCTGAAATGCAAGTAAAAACAAAATAACGCCTGTGTCAATTGCGTTGGATGCTTCACCGTAGTTAATAATTCGTACTTTTTATAATATTCTATGGATTCTTATCTTTTAGTTACACTTGAAGATGTAAAACTAGAATTCGCATGTGCAGAAAAGTTTTGAATCAGATCTATTAAGTGTGAATACACATTTATCATTTATAAAATTGTCCTTAGATGGAAATCAAAAATTGAATCAATGAAAAATAATTTTTTTCCAGCAAAAATCTAAACGAAGAAATAAATACAAGTGCTCGAACTTGAAACAAATTATGGTTTTTTTTTTGTTTTGCATAGTAGAAGTAAAATTGTTAAATCATATCAAAAATTCTCATTCATCTATGACGGATATAAATCCATCTAAAAAGGTTCGATGAGAATGTCTACTGGATGTCCCAGAAGTAGTCTACCAAAAACTATAATAGAAAATCTCCATTGTATTTTGATGAAATGAACTAATTTTTTCCTGATGATAGAGGAAAGTTGCAAGATTTTAATCATAAATCATCAGCTAATTGACATACTTGCAATCTAATATAATTTACTTCAACCAGAAAGTTGGCCTTTTTTTCTTTCGAACAATACTTCCATCAGTAGTCAACCATAAGAAACACAGAAATCTGATAATTTCACTGACTTTTTACTGAAATGATCAATGAAAAAAAGACTCTACAAAATGGAATATATCAAAAATTTTTCAGATATCCTTGTGTGTTTATGGTTGATTATTCATACAAGTACTCTACCGAACATTAATTGTAGCCGCACGAGTTTTTCGAGGATTTTCTGTACAAGAACATTCTAGAGGATTCTGTGAAGATTTGAAGCAATCAAGTAGACTTTCGAAAGCTCTTATCCACCACAAATCTATTTTACACTCCTCAAAAATCTGTTTGGTTTTTCGAAAAACCATTTCGATGAAAGATTATTTAAATAAATAAAATATAATAGTAGGTCCTCTCCGAACAGTCTGTGCGCTGCGACATACTAGAAGATTTAGAGACTTCTATTGCGAGAAAGGGTTTACTATATATCTGATTAGATGCAAATAGACAAAATTATTTAACGAAAAGGATTCTATTAATAATATATAAAAAGTAGACAAATGATTTATGAATTCAATTTTTATTCTTTTTCTATTACGTGTCATCGTAAATAGCTTTCTTCAAAACAGAAGATTCTCAGACAAAGTTTGATGTATGCTAAATTCTGCTTAATAAAAAGAATAGAAATATGACAGATTTAAAAGATGAACCTTATTCTAATAAATTAAACTTGAATATGAATGAGAAGCAGACCTTGAAATCGAGCCAATTTTTTATGGCTCGGCCCGATCCCGAAAGAAATTTCGTTTACAAAGATTTTTTTCTCAATAGACAACTATTTGATATTTTTCGGCATTTATAAAAAGTGATGACCAACGAAGACAGGGGTAGCGTGGAGAAGCTTCCCCTATCCCCCCTCAGGGTGAGCCAAATCTCAGTAAAAGTTATGTCAAAAAAGGATAAAATCATCGAGCCTGGTGAGAAGCACAGTCATTGTACCGTTAAAGGAAAAAAAATCATGAAAATAAATTGAATAATAAGAGAAAAACTAAGTGTTGTATTTTATGGAGTGGTGTCGATTGTGTATGAAAGCAATATTTCCCAACATGTTTCTGTCTTGGAGCTGATTTTTGTATGGTATTTTCATATATCAACCAGTCCTAATGTATGAATACTTCAAAAAACAAATATCACTCTTCAGTTTGTTAGTAAAACTAAATTTTTTTTCGAACGTAGAAAGATTTTCGATTGATTTTTTTTAGAATATTACTCTACTAATTTTGGATATTAATAAAGTTTATGAAACAAACCTCCTTTACTTTTCAAATTATTTTTCCTCTATTTCTCTTTGATATCCAACCAATTTTGTTCAAATGAAATTTCTTCAAGCGAAATGCTATTGATTTTAATATCAAGCTACACTAAATTGAGAAGTATCTTCATGCAAATTATCGTCAGTTTTTTATTCATAGAACTTCATCTCAAGCTATTAATTGAGATATAATGTATGTAAAAAAAAAATACTTTAAAAACATAAATGTCGTACAACATTAAGGTCGATATACATGTCTTGAATGTATATGTTCATCATGTATGCTTTCAATAAAAGTTCATATAGTTTAAAGTTTGGTAGATTATTAGATTATGTGATACTTTGACCTTGTTTTTGAACGATTAATTTGAGTCTTTTTGGAATGCTAAATTTATTTAAACAAAAATATGCAATTTAATTTTAAAGAAAGCTATTTAAAAAACAAATCTATAAGATGATAATGTTCTATAATCATAACAATGTATGATGTTTACGGATATTGAAGTATTTATTTTATAGATAGCAGTTCTAATCTTTTTTTTTCGGTGAATTATTTATATATATATATTTACTACAAATAATATCAGATTAATGAGACAGGAGCAAAATTATTTAATCGAATATTAAATCATTGATATTACTATTGTCGTTTTTCATAGAAACTATCGTGTTATTACTGGAATATTCTTCATATTTACATTAACATATTTTGATCTCATTAAAGAATGCGCTTCAGTTGTAACAAATAATCATTATCTACTTTACTTTGTTACTGCATGATGCATGTAGGTGTGAGTGACGACAATACCGACACCTACATTCCATAATATTTTAAAATGAATTTCTATCAGTGAATGACAATGACAAAGTCTCTAGCGATTATTAACTCAAAATATCATCCTCATCAGGTAAATCGTCAGAACGATCAATATCAGGATCTATAGCACCGACCAATACCTTCACCACATAGTCAGCATATGAAAATGGATAATTGGCTCCGTGTATGTCCCGAATCATTTTTTTCTGTGTCTGATAATCATCCGTCACATCGACATTCACCATCTCTGCATCCCATTGTCTCAGGTAGCTGACAGTCTCTGAATCATCCGTACAAATGAGAAACATTACATGAGTGTTGTCTACTTGACGTTCATGTTCCATGACATGTTTGAACTCGGGAAGATTAGGATTTCCATCATCATCAGTGGGTATTCCATCGGTAGCAATGAATATTAACAATTTTTTATTTTGTTGATGTTGAACATGTGATTGAAGAATGTTTCGTAGAACACGAGCCAATGGAGTATAACCACGTGGAGGAATCTTGAATAGTCGTTCTACATCTTTAGGATTGGTAATTCTATAAGAGTTTTGTCTATTGAGAAAATGTATATTAATTCCATTCGAGTCAAATATCGTACCGATTTCTACAACTAAACGTACAAACATTCGTAACTCATCCCACCGAGTACGTGTCGTTCCATCAACAAAATTTGTCATCGTTCCAGAATCGTCACAAAGAATGACAATTTCGAAATTTTTCAGTTTGCGAAGACGTTGAACGTCATTCTTTCGTATTTCATACGTGAGAACCAACGTCATTAATCGTTCTTCTTCAATTTCATTGAGTTCTGCATTAAAGTATGATGAATTCTCTTCTAAATGATATCCAAACAAACCAGTAGAAAACTACTCATATCAAAGAATAACAGAAATGAATAAATTCTATACAGCATATATTTTATTCTCATATGAAGATCATCATAAAACTATCAATATAAAGAAAAATGAGTCGCATTTGATTTACAAACCATATCTGTGTTTGTTATACGACAGGAGATAGTAAACGATAGGATAAAATGATACAAAATCATAATTCTATGGAATAGTTCCGAGAAATTGAATATGCATTAAAAATTTCAATCCATAGTACACACTATCAACTATCAGTATGATCTCGTCTTTTCTTGTACGAGTTTGTTGGCACAATGGGACATTGATTCAAAACAGTGGTGCGTGCCGGTTAGTATATAGAAGACTCATAATGAATGGCCGGTTTTTATATTTCTATTTTTTTTGTCATATAGTACGTTTATTTTAAAAATAAAATATCGTATAAGATGTAGCTTGCAAAGTTCTACAAGATACATTTAAAACCTTGTTTCATATATACATTTTTTGTTTTCAAAATGAACAAAATTCTGTATGACTGATGTTCGATCTGGGGAATGAGATTATTGATTGATATATAACAATCAATTAATAAATTATAACTTTTAACTTTATTTCATTACATATGATTGGCAATAGCGTCGCGCATATGATAATTCAGAACATCGAGATCGAGAATATTTGATGATCATCTATTACGGCTCATTAATCAAAGAAATAAGAAACAAAATTTGTCGTGTACTAAAAAAATAACTTTTCACAGCATCAAGATTTGATGGTACAAAATTGTGCCCATTTGAAAACAAAGGATGCGCATATGGAATTAAGTTTTTAATATATCTTGTAGAGCTTTTCATGCTGCATCTTATGCGATATTTTATTTTTAAAATAAACGTACTACGTAGATGATTAAAAAAAAGAAATACATAAATCGATCATTCATTATAGGTCATCCGATGGTTGTAGTGAATAATTTCATATTGTTAGAAAGTCTTCCTTCTATATTGGTCGATTTTGCAGTCAAATATCTCTCACAATTGCCATCTCACTAACCTTCATCAGTCGATCCTAGAGCTAAATGAAATAAGTTGACAGTAATTTTTCATCACAGGCTACTCATCTCATGTTATGATTAAGAGATGCTTCTAGGTAAAGTCTCATTTTTTTTTATTCTCTTGTTCGAGCACACAGTTCTAAAAAGATAATGTACTCAGATGATGTTTTTTGGATTTTGACTAATCTCATTAAGCTTGACTTATATAGAATCGATTAAAGTCCATCAATATCTGACAGCTGATTGTTTTCTAACGAGCATACTCTAGATAAAGTTTTAATTAATCTTAAGCTAAGATTTTCTTACTATATGTATAGTGTTGAACAACAGAGAGAAAAACCATAAATCTCTGACTTTTATCTCCTGTTTACACTTGACTTTCTTCACAATGAGATAGATCTGATATGTACAATAGTTGAACACAATTACTTTTTATTTTGTTCTATCGAGTTCAATGCAAGTCTCGCTCTTGACACACGCGAATAATCGAGATTCTTAAAGCTTTGCTAGCATAACAATTTCTACTTACGTAAGCCGTCTCGAGCTATATGTACTTCTCCATCAAAACTGGAAACACTATCGTCTGTGGCTTCCCTACCAGGTTCAGTAGAAATAGTGCATGATCGACTTCGGATTAGCACAGGAGCATTAAGTGGCATCGTCGTTGAATCAGTAGAATTTGCAGTCATGAGTCTTATCTAAAAGAAATAGACGATGAAACATCTTTGCTCACATGAGAGACTTCTACCATGTGCCATCATCAATGCCATGCTTATTTTCCTTATTTACTGAAGCATTTTCGCTTCCATTTCACACGACACTAAGCAAAACTATATAGCAATTGCGTTGCCGTCCACAATAGTTTTTGTTCTGTATGTTAACATTCAAAAGAGAATCCATACAATACAAGTATGAGTGTGCATTACAGTTTTGCTAGCATCGAATGTTTTTTTTTTCTGTACATTGCTCTCAAGTCGAATTTTAAATTTTTTCTCTCCAGCTTTTTCAACTCAATAGGGTTGAAATAAATAACATTTTACAATTAAGAATCGATCGTTCTGCCACTACACATGATTTGATTGCTCAGAAAAAAAAACAGTTCGAGAGCGTCTATGAGAAGAGTAAAAGTCTGAGTGTAGGTTTGACTCTTCTGTTAACTGTAGTCATACGAGTTTCTCAATACAAAAGTCCTTTCGAGTAGTCGGCTGTACTGGTCATACACTAGACCAATATGATTGTAACACAGTGGTGTAATTAAGGGTGGGGCCAAATGGACAATTGCCCATCTCATTTGTCCATTGAAATTTTACTTTTTCAGAATTGTTTATTTATTTTTGAATTAGATAGTAACTGTATTTTTTTTTTCTTCCGTCTGAATCATACATGCACTCTTTGCTTGTTCTTTCTGTGAAGAATTAAGAAAAGAATCGTGTCTTATATTTTAACTGTAAGTGTGGTGAACGTGAATGTCGGTCTACAATGAAATAAAACAGGCTAAACGGATTTGCTGCTACGTACATTCATAAAGATCTCGATATAAATTCAAATGGAATATTGAAATTTTATATACAAATGCATTATTGTCGTCTTGATTTTGGTGTTTAAATATGAAATATAAATGTAATAGACAGAGATATTAAAAATAGACTAAAACACATCTGACTTAGGCTTAAGATCTGAGTTTGATGCATATTTGGTTAAAAGAATCTCATTTCTTTTTTTGTGCTTTTTTTTACGTTTTCAATACTTTGTTGGATCAAAAAATTTTTGGTCTATTAATAAAAATCTTGCCTATCGTTTGTCCCGATACAGAAGAAGTTTGCCCATTGGTCTAAAAATTCTGGTGACCCTGCTGTTGTAACACTCAGTCATCTCAGCTTGTTCTGAAAAAAGAATTTTTTTTTGGACGAATTCGAAGTACTTTTTCATAAAGCACAGTTACATTCGTCTAATCTCCTTGAGTAAACTTGATCCGTCGAAACTCCTAATAGATATTTCTATTCTTATGTTCATCAGTTGTTATCACTATCAACGCTTGATATAAATCTTTAGCTTGGTTAATTTACTCTAATTTTAATAATAATTTCAAAAACATCACAAAATTTACTATTATATCAGAGAAGAAATTTTATTCTATCAATTATTTTGTTATTTTAACATCTTTATATTTATTATCAATATTTTCTACTTATAATAAATATTACAATAGTCTTTTAAATTCAATTATTTGATAATAGTTATTATGAACAAAATATTCAAAATTTATTTGACATTATATTCATTCTCACACATAAAAAAAAATGAATAAATCAATCATGTACATAATCTTCTAATGTTTTCACTGTGCCTTCAATAATTGAATCATATAAGAAATCTTCACGATAAAAAACATAATACTAAAAAAAAAAAATAGAAAATCAATCAAAAAAAGAAAAAAATCATAATTTACATTCATATTTTTATAAGCTTGTAATTCAGTTGATGGAGTTGTTGCTTCATATTCAGCTATTGAACAAATGATTATATTAGGTGGATCAAATGGAACAGTTGCAGCATAACCATTGACAAATAAACCAGTTGTCATTATTGTTCCACCAAATGGAACAGTATTCTCTATATTAAATCAAAATATAATATTTATTTCTATGCAAAGTAATGAATGATCGAAAAGTAATATGACAAAATGTTCGTTCATTTTCTTTTTTTTTTTTTTGGCCTGTTAAAAGGACGTCTGCAGAAATTCAAATCAAAACTTTGTATTGCTTTCGAATAATAGATTCAAAATTTTTCTAAGACTTCGCTTTTAGAGTTTTGAAAATTATTTTAAATAAAATGAATAATCAATGGAAAACAGACTTGTAAAATGAGCTCGACTATTTCCGAATGATTATGCTAAAATTCTTGAGTCTTCTATTATTTTGTAGAGAACGATTATAAATTCAAATTTTTGTAGACGTTCCTTTACAATGATAAAAATAAAATGAAGACTTTGTCAAATTACTATTCGTTTATTCATTAATAAAACTAACTGCAAACATGTCCACCGAATCGTTTAACAAGTGCTTCAATAGCTAATGGTGTATCAGCCATTTGACCGATAAATGCAAAGTTATAACCAGTAAATATTCTTCAGAAGAAAACAAAAATCAGAAATATATTTTCTTTTAAAATTAATTATTTTTCTTCTAAAAGAAAATAGATTTTTCCCCGGTTGACCTCGGTCCCTTGACTAACTATAAAACAAGTCAAGCGACCGAGGTCAGCCCGAGAACAATTCTATTCATAGAGAAGATAGATACTTACTTTTTATCTTTAGTTGCTACTGCTTTTTTGTATAATTTTCCAATTTTAGCTAATTTTTTCTTTATAGCTTCTTTTGTAGCACCAGTAGCCTATTTAAATATATTAAATAGATTGAAAAAAAAAACAATTTATTAAAATATACTGCATATTTAAATTCTCCAGCATCTAATTTATAATGAACAATATATTGAGGAAGAATATGATCACTACGAAAGAGAATAAGTTCTTGTTTACTAGGTGAACAATGTGAATCATAACCCTAAATAAAAATAGAAAATATATGAAAATGAAGATATATTAGAATTTTTCACATCTATAAGAGCAGAACCAACTATTAATTGTGTACAGTGATATACCTTTCAAAAAAAAACAAGAATAGAAGACATTCTTCGTTTATATATTTTCCATTGTCTATTCTTTACTTTTCCTTGTAATATTTGACATAATAATAATTTTGTAGAACCTTTTATATAACCCATCGAAAAGCCAGGATATTCCTATATGATATGAAATACATTAAAGAATATAAACAAACAAGTTATGTTAAAATAATGAAGTACATTTGTAATCAATCATTTTTTGTTTTATGTAACCGATGAAAATTATTTCATAAAAAGACTTTTTCAATGAAGAATTTAATTCTCTACAAAAATCTACTATTTTAGAGTTTAATGATAGTGCAAATTCAAAGTTGTATTGTTCTTGACTTATTCAGAATTAAATTGTATGCTTTCTTTTGTCGTCCTTTTGCATACGTACTAACAACTAATCACAAAAGTTTTCGATTATTCCTGCACAATCCGTTATATGTAATTTGAACTTTTTTCATATGAAAACTTACACTAAAGTATGCTCCTCGTCCATAATAACCAGTATCAGTTGCATGCGTAAATCCTTCTTGACCTAGAAGCAAGAAATGAAGATAGAATGTTTACTGGATTGGGGAATTTATTTACCAGGTACTTTAAAACCATTTTCACATATCGGTTGAATATTAGTAACAGCTGTACCATGAAAAGCTAATACAGGATAAGAATATTCTTCACCACGTTTTTTCTTTAGTTCTTCTCGTGCTTGACTAAAATAAAAAGAATCAATAAAAAGAAAAAAAAAGAACTAATATTTCTTAAAATCTGTACTTGAATTTATTGATTAAAATTGGATTACAAACATATTCAACTTTGGTTACTTTTGCTCTAGAAAATAAAAATTTTGAAATTGAATATATATTTATTATTTAATTTTTCTTTTCTACGTTGTATATCCACTTAATAAACGATAAAATTGAGATTCAGCTAGACGAAAATGTAATTCTGCAGCTGAACCTATTTTTTGAAATAAAATTATTTAATTGAATTAAAAATTTTCATTAATTTTACCTTGTTTACAATTTCGTTCGGGAAAAAGTTCGAAATATTTCACTTTAGTACCTTTAAGAATTTCTTCTTCACCTTCCATTAATAATACACCTTCGCTAATCTTAACAGAAAAAAAACAAGAAGATCTTTATTTTGAAATACAAATAAAAAAAAAAAGATTATTTTACTTTATGTTGAAGTTCTTCAATTTCTTTTTTTCTTTTTTCAGTTTCTTCACGAGTTTTCTTTAATTTTTCTTGTAATTTTTCTTTCAATTCAAATGCCTTAAATTAATTTTCTCAATAGAAAAAAAAAACCAAGAAAAAAATTCATATTTGATTTCTATTTACTCGTTCAATCATTAAACGTTTTTCATCATCAGTCATTTTCGAAAAAGTTTTCTCTAATTTTACATCATATACACTTTCCTATATTAAAAATTTCATTAAAAAAAAAAACAATTCATTATTAACTTACATCATTCGAATCATATTCTTCTGTTTTATCTCCATCAACTTCTTCTTCACTTTCTTTTTTTCGTTTTTTATCATCATTTATTATTTCATTCTTTTTATTTGTTTGCTTAATTTCTTCTTCATCACTACTATCAACATCAGGATTTAATAAATCAAATGGATGACTATATTGTGCAAAATGTAATAAATTTTTTCGATAACATGTAGCACCAAATGGACATACTGGTAATGTTTTATTAGTATCTAAATCAAATTAATCAAATTTTAAAAGCAAAAATATTTGAATATCAACAAACCGGTTTTAACTACTTTTGGAGTAACTGAAGTAGATACACAATCGGAATGTGAATATTCATTGAAATGAGCTGGATTTTTACGATAACATTTGCTACCTAGAAATAAGAAAAACATATAACAACAAAGAAGAACACACAAAACAAAATACCATATGGACATTGTGGCAAATCTTCTAATTTGACTTTTTTGGTCGGATGTGTCGACATAGTATGAATAGAAATCGATGTTAATGTATATTCTTATGAATAGCAAATGTTTGAAACAAAATCTTTAAAAAAGACAAATAATGCTTAGCGATTATTATTGAATATTAGAAAAATAATTAACAAATGTCTGATTGATTTCATTAAATAGAATAATATCGAGAAAAATACTCAAACTGAGTCAGAACTTTCAATATCATCTTTTAGCTGTAAGTTAGTCTCAGCGAAAAAAAGTCTTTATGTTTATGATTCTTCGTTTTCGAGATATGGTTAACGTGATAAAGAAAAAAAATATAGTTTTTCTTTGCTAAACTCAGTCAAATAGATATCTGTAGACTGATTCCAAAAGTCTTCAATATTTTCAATGAAGAGAGATATTGAACTTTATAGTTTTATCTACTGTTTATGATGTTTTGAAATTATTAAGTTTTCATCGCTTCTCCATAGACTATTAAGATTAATTATTTTATCGTTTTACTTTTTTTTTTCATGCATTAGAAAACAAAAACTCGCTAGACATTAAATTCTTCACTATTGAAATTTTGAAATTTCATAATTTAGTCTAATTAAAGATTTAAATTATTGATGTGAAATATTTTTTAATCTAAAATTATTATGATAATATCAAGTTTTTTTCATCCTAACATTAACTCTTTTGAGTGAAATAAAGAGTCAAAAGCACGAATGATTTTAGGACTTTGTTAGTTTCACTGAGATTTACTTCTAGTCGAACGATGACGTCCAAAGCGAGGAGAATTAATCAGAATCTTTTATCTTTCTTTAAAATAATTTCGAACATTAATATATAAATCAAAATTTCAACTATTTTCTATTAAAGAAAATCAAAACTAACTATGATACTTTAACATGAGATTCAAAGTTTTTTTTTTTTGAGCTTTTCATATTCAATGATGTATAAGACTTTTAAAGCTAAGGATAAATTATATAGATAAAAATACTACTTTTTAGATTTATTTACTTTAATTTTAATTTATTTCGTGAATAAATGACTTCAATAGAATATAAATGAAACTAAAAAAAACCGGTCAAGATTTAGTACTGAATAAGAAAATAAAAAATTTTAACTTTAAACTCAAAGTTAAATTAAGATATATTCAATCAAAGCACATCTATAGATATTAAACATTATCCTTCAAAAGTAAGAATAAGAGAAAAATCATTGAAGAAGGATCAATAAAAAGAAAATTTGTAAATCATCAAGGTAAACAAACCGAATTTCCCAAAAGTTTGAAACGGAAGGTGACTCTTCATGGCTCCGCAAATTCTTGATTTTTGAACCTTCTGTGGTTCTCATTTCGATGTTTTCAACTATATATAACCTAACCTTAGTTTCCGAAATAAAAATACCAAAACCTTCTTGATTGAAAAAAAAAACAACTGAAAATCAGCTGTATCTTAAATATATAACAATAAAAGGTTCTTGCATAATATCTTCGAAGATTTGAGCAAGTTCTTTTATTCATTCTCTTGTTTTTTTTCTTCATTGGTCAATATATTTAACCAATAAAAATTATTTATTAGCCTTCATCATTCAATTATATTCTGACAAGAAAATCTTCAACATTTGACATATTTATTTATTTGCTCATTTTTATGTCTATGAACGAAAAAGTTATTCATAGTTTCGAGGGTACTTGCCCATTAACTTATTATGGAATATATGGTATTAAAAAAAGGTAAAATGAACAAAAAGAAAAAAAAAATCTTTCTTAAAACAAATTCATCATCATTTTGTCTATTTATTAATTTAGTTTTAATATGCCAAATTTTCCATGTTTGGATATATCCGAACAATTATCTCTTAAAAAACATCTCATGTATAAACATAATTTATCGAATACAGCTGGTATGAAGAAAAAAAAAAAACAAATTTTTGTTTTCGTCATCTTTATTAATAAAATTCTATAATTTTATTTAGCAAATAAAATTGTTCTCGTTCGTATGAATAATCATATAAATGAAAAACAAATCAATGATAAAAATGATTTAATATTTAATAATACACAAGAATTATTTTCACATTCAGTTCATTGGCATAAAGGTCGATGTCCATTTTCATATGGTTTTAATAATGTTTTTAATTTAACATTAACAAATCATCATATAAAAAATTATAATTGTCGACATATAAAACAATGTTTACTTTTATCACATTTACGTGTATCACATAATTTAAATATAAAATCAGCTAAAAAAATTGTTAAAACAATGATGTCATCATCTATTGAAAGTAAACAAAAATCATCAATTGAAAATGATATTAGAGAAATTATTTTATTTCAAAAAGATGATGCTGTTTTAAATACAAATCCGTATGTTTTTTAAAAAAAAAAACAAAAACTATAGAAATAAAAAAAATATTTTTTGATCTTAGAAATATTTATAATGATGATCGAAGATTTCGACATTATTGTCCATTAACAAATTTAATATCAATTATAAATGAAGATATTCAAGATCAAACATTACTTAATGTGCCTTGTAATAAAACCAATGAAAAATTTATTCTTTTTGCTCATCTTCAGTAGGTTATCAGATTTTGTAATATTAATGTTATTCTTTAATTTGCCTCAAGACAAGATTTATTATTCATGATCCAGAAAGAAAACGAAGATTATCATTTCGATGAAAGAATGAGAAGTCTTTTTTTTTTTGCTTATGCGAATTGATACAATTTCTTACTATTTACGTAAAGTTGATCGAGATAATTATCGATTTGGATATAAAATTATTTTAAAAAACAGAAGCCTTATCATAATAGCTTTAGAATATGTTCTCTTATATATTCCTTAAAAATTAATAGCAAATGCTCGGAGTTCTCTATTGCCTCAGAATATTGATATTTTATCTTTGTATTCATTTGACAAAAAACAAAACTATAGAATGTAATGAAGACATTCTCATCTTCTTGAAAGACTCGAATATACCATTCATAATAATATTCTATATCTATTCAAAAATATCCTATGATTCACATATAATTTACGATATGCTGTTGTTGAATGGATCGATCGGATCTTAGCTACTATGTGATGGCTAGACGTTTGAAAATTTGTGTACACATACTCGATTAGACAATGTAGGTCAGCGACATCATTCGAAATTTATTTTCTGCTATAAGCTTTCTAATGTTAAAAAACTGCCTACTAAAGTTTGTCTTGTTTCTTATCAAATACATGATTAATTCGGAATATTTTCAAATAAAACGTAAAATCAATCTATGATCTTTCTTCATTTAAAAGATAAGTTCATTTGTTCGAATATTGATCAGATGTAATGATAAGTCTGTCAAGCTGCAAGGTTCTTCTCTTACAGAGTTATGAACCTCAAAGTAAAAATAGACACTATTCATCATAGCTCAGTATTTGCTCCAGCAAGCGCGATTTAGCTAGTTCTTTTTTCATGTTCCGAATGTCTCGTAAAACCCCATTTGTCCTGTTAACTGAAAAGCGTCTGACTGGACAAAGTATAGTAGCCAGCTTATTGCTTCTCACTCGTTTAGTTGCCATGACAAATTCTTCTTTGAGATGGCTGATCATCTTCTTCTCGATGCATTAGTTATGGCTCAAGTCAGTCACTCGTTCTCCACACCTAACTATTATTTCGAAATGAGAAAAACAGCTGAGAGTTTCCTTATATGGTCATATATGACTCAATCTGAAAAAGACCATTAATATTTTAGATGGTACATACAACAGTTTCCTTATATGGCAATAGTTAATTCAGATTGATAACCTCTTAACTGAGCCAAGATTGTCGAACGCGACTGAAGATCATTATGTGTTTCTCTGTGGAAGTCTAAAATTTAGAAATAGAAGATGTCGTATAGAGGATGTTCTCTGAGATTATTCGAGCACTTGTAGTCAGCTGCTCTTTCTATTTAGGATTTGCTCGAGTAGAAGTCTGTTTCTTCTCTCTGTTATTTATTTAAATATTAAGATATACAAATAAAAAAGAAATTAAAGTGTATAGCACGTTTCGATATAAGGATTTTAAAAAATTCGATACATTAATTTTTTTCCTATAGTGTTCTGTCCCAAACTTTTTTGGAACTATTCCGCAAGACTCTAGTATAAACACATTGATTTTCAGACCTCTATCCCTCATAGTGACTGAAATTCGAAGTGAAATGGAAGGTTGCTTTTGTCCAGGAGTGTACATACTAGAAAATAATCGGAATATCTGCTTGTAATATTTTAGAACCTATTTCTGATTAATGCTGTTGAGAGTTGAATCTTCTATGAACTATTATACAAAAAACAAAATGTGTTTATCTTAGAATATAAAATTATTGTGTTTTAAAAACATATGTCCCAAGTGATGATAAATTTAAAAAAAGTACATAATTACAAAATCCGACTCTTGGAAATTTTGAAGATAAGAATGTCATGGCGTAGTACCCAGCAGAATGATATACTTTTGACCACTGCGAAATGTACTAATCGTTCATAAAAATAAAGCTTTTTATGAGAATTAATACGATAAACTTAAATCCGGTTCGAAATTTCGACTGAATTGATTGATTTTCAGAAGTACATATTCATTTTCCTCTTCTCACAGTTAAATCCGTAGATTCAACGTACGAACTCGTTCAAGAACATCAACTAAAGGGCTTCGAATAAAAAAAAAATAGTTGATTGATACATATTGTATACTCGAGCTTCATGAAAGAGAAATTCGAATCTAGTTGAGAATGATCTCTATTTGAACTTGTTAGTATAAAATTTAAAATAAATAAATTTGAATTTAATATAAATTTCTTCAAATGACATTTGTATATGAACTATTGGGTAAGAAAAAATTACACTAATATCGACCGCCATGGCTTCATAAACGACAGAAATTTATTTCATTCAAAAAAATATTTCAATATTCTTTATCAACATCTCTTTATATAGACATTATCATCAAATGAATGGTGAACTTGCACTTCGTCTAATTCGTTCTATTCGAACTAGTACAGAAACAACAGCAATAAACGA